AAAAAAAACGGACGGATTGGCGATGGTGACCTCTTAGCATGCAGATACCGTATCTTTACAGTAAGTCGCTACTGAAGAAATGGATGGTTTTTCATGATCAGCGTACCAGGTTACCCTTACACAGATTCACGATGTCGATTTCCTATCGTATGCCTACCATGCGCCCTGATGTTACTGTAGTGTGGGATACTGGAACATTCTTCTCAACGAGCTGAGTCTAACGCCGCACTTCCGTTCAAAAAATTACTATTTTGAAAGAAGTTATGACGATGCGACACTTTGCGACGAATTATCCCGTCGCGACTTTTTGCAGAAGTTATGAGCTGTATTGTATATTACGTACCACATACATATACATACATACATACAAGCAAACTAAGTGCATTTTCATTAGCCTTAATGAAAGGAGACTCTGCATCTAGTTCCAAAAAAGAAACAAACGAAGACCAATGTTATTTGTTGAGTGAACAACGATATCCTATACGAAACGCCCATTCATGTAGGAACCTCGACGATAATACACACCAGCACACGCGCTGTGCGAGCAGATACAGGTATCACTATTTTCAATGGTTGCTCTGACTGCTTATATATTCGTTAAGCTTCTCATTAATTGTTTGTCGCAAGCTAAGGGTAAACTGATATGGAAAAGGAGCAAGAATCACTATGGCGGCGCTTACGCAACCATGAAAAGATCCTCGCATTGTCAAACTCAAGTAACCTCCAAAAAATTCATTAAAAAACTAGGAATTGTTAGAAAGATTTCCGAAACAGGCTCGTCAAGTATCAAGTTATGATTTCTATGAATCCACCATCGTTTTAAAAACTCTTGGGATTACGAATTTTATTTTAATCTGGGACCAAACACGTGAAGACAAATTCAAAATATGATTGGTTTGCAACTCCAGTTGGTGTGCACAAATTTTGAGATATCGTGGCGGATCTCGAACAAAAAATAGAACGACTTTTATTGTGAGGCGAGACTAGCCTAAACAACTGGCAAATCCCGTTTAAGTGAAGAATGCTAATAATACCTTTGAGCGACCCGTTAACAAAAATCTAAAGATTGAAAAAACACAGTATAATGAATACAGTAGCAGAGAAGGAGTCAATTGTATTGGCTTTCAGTAGCTTCAGTGTAGTCGTCTCTACTGGTGGGTTACATGCCCGCTCAACTGCCGAACTTTCATTCCACATTTGCTGATAGTTACGACCTGCTGAATCCCGACATGATCGAGGTGGCTGCAATCATCGCCATTACAGTAACGGCTGTAGTTACAGTAACGCGTCAGAGAACTTGAAGCCTTACCGTGTATTCGCGGCAATTCTCATCGCAAATATGGCAGAGAGTAATATGACAAGAAACGAGTAGCTCTTCAACTCCTGCTTGTCGAATTGACAGCCATCCCACTGAGGCTGCACGTAGGAGAGAGGCGTACGAAGGCGAGTGTAGCAGAGCAGACTCAGCGGTACAGCTGTGAACAAGCGATAGTCAGTATTAGGTAAAGATTGTAATTTTTAAAGAGAATCAAGTTGTTGAAACAAAAAAAAAATCTATCTGTTTTATAAATGGCCTACCCGTCGTGTTTCACTATGTAGACGGGACTCTTCCTCGTACCAACCCAGCAGTCTTCCACTCGCATTGCATGAAATGCTGAAAATCGTCTAGATCGATCTCCTAATGAAGCTAGGAACCTATTTTAAAAATTCGCAAACATGTACGATAGTTAATCTCCAATATATTCTATAATTAGCGAATCAGCTCCACATATAGTAGCAAATACCTTGAAAACGGAACACTATTAATCGAGAAAGCAGGTAGTTCTTGACTGTTAGCACAGTGTAAAGGAAGTGAAACATGCTTTCCAGTAAAAACAGGCAGCGATTAAGAAAATTTCAAAAAACTTATTCCAACGCTAGCACTGCAAAATTTATACAGCGCATTATGATAATCACTTTTTCTCACGGGTTTGCATACTGAATTTCCCCACTTAAATTCTCAGCTGATGCCTAACTTTTTGTGTATATCGGAAAGCCAAATAATTTTCCCCTTACAGAAAGTACTAGTTATAGGTTAATATATAATCTCGAACATACGTGCATTGCATCTCCAGTTGAAGCAGATCCTTGTATGCCAGGAGATGGTATCATTCAGCGTCAGCGGCGGATTTTTGCATGAGGTCCTAGAAAGGCAATTCTTTTCCTGGGTACTTTAAGAAATTTAGATAGGTATTATAACATATAACAAGAAAAATCTCTTTTTTCTGCAGAGGAAAACTACTAATGAACTGTGAATATTCAAAATTGTAAACAACCGACTTTTATTTGTCGAAAATGCTTAAAAGTTGAGAAGTTACTAGGTAAACTGCGCTGTAGGATCTTTTATGTGAGATTTATAGCTGTGATATAATCATTCGCTTCATAAGAAGGTCCAGACAATTAGAACATTTGTAAATTGTGGGAAGAATCCGTCGGCAGTCATGAATAGCTTTCAGTTATGCAAGCATGTCATTGTTTCGGATTTCGTTGTAATTCAAGTGAACTAGCTTTTTAAT